CCATTTTTTTCCCATCTAAAAAATCAAATAACTAATTTCAGAATACATTTTTATCCTTTAGAATGAGAGGTTTCTACTTGTTCCAGTTGTCTCACAGTTATACTTCCAGTTTCTACGGAAATTAACCCAGATATTTAGAATCCCCCTGGTAAAAGATGTCAAAATTCTTCTAAATGCAACACACCATAACAAATCTTGTGCGTATCCATCCTAATCTTTGGTCTATTTTAGATACTATTTACATTATTTTAAATAAAAATACATGCCTATTTTATCTTGATTCAACCCACTGATCCACCTTATTCAAATATCTTAACTAGAGAGTTAAACTGAATCAATTATTACAAACGTTTTTAGGCTCCAGTGCAAGACAGGAATTTAAAGCATGCATCTGAGTATTTAATGGTGTTAATTTCTGGCTACACAAAAACGATCAGCTTCACTGAACAAGTCTACATCTCTCTCTCCCCAGAAAGAAAACAAGATACAAAAATAATAAAAATCGGATATCTCCAATTTAATTGATTATCTCTGTTGTAAGTGGAGCTAAGGACCTAATTTTAAGCACTTTAATACATGTCAACTGATTTTTTTTTTAAATGGCAAGTATTAAAAACAATACAAACACAAAGATACCAATGGACACTGTCTTTTTAGTTACAATGGCATATCATATTTCTTTTGTTTTAATTTGTACATGCAACTTATTTTATCTGGAATAGATTTCATTTAATAACTACAGAAACCAATTACTAAATTCCTCACATATCAGCACAAAAGATAAAAAGGTACTGCACCAGTGTACTAGTAAAACACAGCATGTCCTACCTCGGAAAAGAGAAGGTCTTTTCTTAGGACGTCTGGGGTGTATAGGCTCTAAATTCTTAATATTTCTTTGAAACCTTCCTTTAAGGTCATTTCCCGGGAGGAGGTCTGGTGGTAAGCTACTCCGTCTGACTGATTTATAATCATTCTGATATGAATTCAGTTTACTCTTAGTTCTAGAGTATAAATTGCTGTCATCGACTGCCATTACAGTAGACTCATTTGTAAAGCTACCCTAATGTAAACCCAAGCAGTAAAAATCTGAAAATCCAAAGACTTATTTAACTGGTGGTCACAGTCCCAAGCAAGTTCAGATGTTCTCATGCTTAAGTCTGCACTTGTTTGGTAAGTTTAGCAAGTTGATAGGCGTGGGCTCAACCAGGTGTAGAATTACTACATAACCCCTCCTTTTAACAGTTAAATAGCACACAGGAGGAGGTACACGGAAATCATAAGGCTAAAAGTTTTTGGATGACTGGAAAGTTTTAACAAACATGAACTCACCAGCTCATGATGCATAAAGGGAAAAACAAAACTGCTTAATGGCAGCTGCTGTACAGGACACTGTATTTCATGTTTCACCAACAGTATTTCTCACTTCATTTCACTAGTACTTCCCTAGCAGTATTTGTTTAACTTGGCATGCCCACTGTAAGAGAGAGAGATCCTTCAAGCTATTTGTCTCAGGAAAAAAAATATCTGACCAGTATATTTGGGTTCTTATCTGAGGCCCGGGTCCTTCTATAGATTAAATATAACTGGCTTGTCAGAAGTAGAACACATTTTGAGAAAAATATTCAAGAGATTTTTGTGCCTAAATTTTGCACTGTGCTTTATTTCTGTTCTCAGAACCACTGACTTATCTTAACAAGGGTTTCTCCAAAGTGTTACCTCTATTAGGATTATTCATACATCATTCCTACATACACATGCACACACACACTCCTCCAATCCCATCGCTTTTTTAAATAACTGCAGACATATTAAAGGTGCTGGGAAGGAGCAGTAATAATTGTATTTCTTCACTATAACATGGGAAGCCTATAAAATGTGGTAGCCTAATTGCTGGTTAGGTAACTGTTTTAATATACGCTGAACATACATAACTTCTGTATAGACAGAAAGATCTGAACTTTTACAACAAGCAAAAGTTAGGATACTAATTAGAAGTACAGTCATCTTCCTTGTCTGTCTTTGCTACTACCGGTAAAATCCACTGAGCTTTACATAGGTCTTTCTAACACATCATTTTGCTGTCTCTGACTTCCAACAAGACAATTTTAATCTTGATTTAAATCAGCTGAGAGGCAACCTTAATTTCCTTAAGTGATTTTAATCTGTTTTTGCATTTGAACTTTTTAAGCTATTTTTCTAAAGATATGATGCATGCTTAATATCTAGAATGACCTGGATAGACTGGAAAAATGGTCCACAATCAATCAGATGATATTCAACAAGGACAAGTGCAAAATCCAGCACTGGAATAATTGCATGCAGATGCAAATAAATACAGAATGGGGAATGAGTGGCAGTACTGCAGAGAAGGACCTGGGGGTTACAGTAGACCATAAACTGAATATGAGCCAAAAGCATGCTCTTGTGGCATAGATGATCGTACTTGCTTGTACAGGAATGTTCCTTGCAAATCAAGGAAAGTGATTCTTCTGTTATGTTTAGCACTAGTAATGCCTCATGTGGAATACTGCGTATAGCTTTGAGCCCTACACTTCAAGGATGAGGAGAGCTTGCAAAAAGTCCAGTGAAGAACAACAAAAATGATTAGGGGCCTAGAAAGCAAGATTTAGGAGGAAAGACTGAAAGAGGTAGGGTTATTGAGTCCAGACAAGAAAAGACTAAGAGTCGATTTGATAACAGTCTTCAAATACCTGAAAAGTAATTATAAAGAGGATGGAGATAGGATTTTCTCTGTAACCATAGAGGACTAGGAGCAATGGTTTCAAAAAGTGGCAGTGGAAATGTAGGTTGAAAATTAGGAGGAACTTTCTAACTATGAGGGTGGTCAAACATCAGAACAAATTGCCTAGAGAAATTGTGGAATCAACATCCTTGGAAGTTTCAAGAGCAGGCTGGACAGTCACTCAGCTGGCTTAGTCAGGGAAGATCCTGTCTTGAACAGGGGCTGCGCTAGATGACCCTTCTGGCCCTACTTTCCTATGATCCCTAATATGCCTTGAGAATCATTCTATACACCTTTAAGAGAATCTCTCTTCCTATGTTATTTTGAATAAAGGGATATATGGGTTTTATGCTTCAGAAATATAAAGGAAAACTGCAAACTGCTAATGGGTGGCAAGCTCATTGCATTATTCATGTTGGCTACTAAAGCAATTCTAGGTATGCACAGGTGTTTATTTCTAGTGGTGGAAATTTGTGGGACATTTCCACTGCTAGTAATCTTTCTGGGAGAAGGATCATACAGGCATTCCATCCTGCAGCTGCCCACTCTCCCCTGCTCCTGTACCTTCCACATAACAGGGCAACCCTGGTCTGGGGAAAAGCAGCTACTCCACTCCTCCTGGTCTCTGCGGAGTAGTGGGGAAAGACACCGAACTCTCCCCCATCCTCAGCTATATGTGCTGGAATGGTCACATGCAGCTGGGGATCAGAAAATCTCCTCCATCCTCAGCTCTAGGCAACCCTATAGAGACAGGTTTTAGCACTCTTTAAACCCAGATACCCTGGTTTCTCCTGAAAAAGTGGCAATTCTTTCAGTAGAAACTGAATACCAATGGCTGCATGCATTTGGGGAGGTTAGATCAAATAAAAAATGGCCACCGAATTTAAGGTAAGTCAGGATGGGAAGAGCTAAGGAGGGAGGGGGGCTTGGGGGAATTGGGGGGCAGGTGGGGTCCACAGGAAGGATTGAGGTACACCTAACTTAGATTGGGTTGGCCATTCTTAAACTGATCTAATTGTCCTCAGTCTCTATACAGTTCACACTTTGATCCACCTAGCTAGTGTAAAGTGAACTAAGTTAGATCAGGTTGCCATTTTTAATGCGATCTAACCTACCCCTAACTTCCCTGAATGTCTGTACCTAGCCTGTGGGTGGCTTCTCTCTACCCTTCTTTGATCTAGCAGGTGAAAAGCATGGTATTTTGGCATCTGTGACGATGATGTATGAACCGGTTTTATAGCAATATTATGATGGCCCTCAGAGGATGGTAGTCTTCATCCGCAAAGTATCTGAGGGTTGAGTTCTCTTCCCATATTTTCATCAGATGCTGGAGAATGAAGGCACTGCTTGCAATGAACATAACTGTGAAAATACTTTGAAAACGAGAGAGCCCATGAGACGTATGACAAAGTTCCCATCTAACACAGGAGCAACAAAATACCTTACTTCTTCACACATTAACATTTATGTTCTGTAAGGTAAAAAAAGAATTTGGCCAAAGTTATGAGTCAAACACATCCTTTTCTCAAGAGTTCTAACCAGATCTGAGAAAATAGCCTTCTATTATTTGTTAAACCCAATTTTCTTGCAGAAGAATTCTATCTATGCAACCCTCAGAGAAGGAGGGGATGGAAACCACCAAAAGACACCTCGTTAAACTAGCATGAGCAATACAGAATGCTTGAACAGAGCAGTCAAAAGTCTGAGGGCAAAGGAACCAGTGAGATTGTAAAAAAACATTGTGGTAAAAAATGGCAATACACAGACTGGCCAGAAAAGAGGTCCCTCACCTTGGAAATTGGCCACCTGTGTACCTTTTGCATATGAATATTCAGTTAATGAATTTAAAATGATGTATACTAAATGGGCATGCATATCTGAAACAAAATGACAAATGGTCTGAGCATGCACAATAGCCAAGTGTACCAGTGTACATGTTTGTTTCAGCCTAGCTCTGCAAGTGCTCCAATCCATTCAGACACAATACTGAATTTCATGAAGCATACACACACACACACACACACACACACACAACATTCAAACTAAAAAACAACTGGAGTATATAAATATTCTAATTATTGAATCAGGGTCTAATCAGCTAGCTGAACAGAGCAGCCTGATAGCTAGGCTGGCAGCAGAAGAGAAGACTAGAGCTAGCTGCATGATTACAGCCTACTGGCATGGAAGATAGAGATTTTTCCTTGAGGCAGATCCTGGATCCGGTGTGTGGTGTTTGATCTATGATTAGGTAAACTAAACTGAGGGAAGTCAATTTTCTGCTGAAATGTCATGGTCATGTAACAGCAGGCATTAGGGAATGGCAACACATCAAAAATAAAAAAGCATTAGTACTGCAGAAATGCTGCTAAGACAGTGTCAGTTGCCACAGCAGAAGTACCATTTTTTCTGCAATACTAGCCAGAGCAAAGAACTTACAAAATGCAAGCAACTGAGAACCAGAGTGAGTGAAATTGCACGTAAGAGTATGTCAGTTACTAGATAAGGACTTGTCACCTGAAGATTTAATAAAGATTTAGAGAATACAATTTGCTCAAAATATATTTACATAGTAATTTATAAATACAAATCTGACATCTGATACACATCTGATATTTGGAATGAAAAAAAAAGGAAAATTGGCTTAAAAAAGGATCTTGTCTAGAAATAAAGATACTTTCAGTTCTTGTTTTCAAATAGTTTTGCAGACAATACAACTGGATCAATTTTGAAACTTCTCCTTTAAAGATAATCACATTGGCCGAGTATATAATACAAACTGGAGAGACTATTGAGAGAAATATTTGATAAAAGAGAATTATTTGATTATTGAATTATTTCCCAAAATTAATGCATTGCCTACAGCAATAATGCCTTATTCATTCAACAGATATCACAATTTAAAACAAGACAGTGGCTGATTTGGACAAGGAAGATCAAAAAGAAAACTGAAAATGGTGTATGAAGAGGCACACATAATTTATTAAGTAGTACTCTGTCCCCCAAGAAAATTATAATTTAGCCTAGCAAGTTGTTTATGGGTACTGTCCTGTGGAAGTACACCAGGAGGGAAAAAAGAGTTTTTGAGGATGTTTTTAAATCAAAAGCAGCACACTTGGGATTCACAAAATCTAAGTTATCTTCCTGGTTCTGACAGGCTTCCTGTCTTTTCAGTATGGCCTAATTTTTATGAAGTGTCTAAAAATTATAAGCAGCTATCCTGAAAAACCTAGGATTAGGGCATCCACTTCTCCCAAAGAAATTAGGTGGAGCTATAAATACTTAGTACTTCAGTGGACCTAGCCCTAAGGAATACATCCACATAGACTTAACTGTTCCAATGCTCTGGTGTTCAGTGGAATTTACAGTCTCAAAATAGGCACCCAGACTCCTTGCCTTATGCACAGGGA